AACACAAATAGAACTTTAAAAGTCAGAACCACAGTTTTAATTAGTTAAGTACTAGCAAGTGCATCGTAGAAAAGGTCTGTTGAGCAAAAAGTGATGTAGTTTCATGCACCACATTTGGTTGGTGCAATTGTGTATTGTGCATAATGGAGGCTGCTAAGGTAGACACGTGGTGGGCCTAGGGGTGTCTGAATATGTTCGGGGGTTGTAAGAAATCCATCTGGGAGTGACTACAGTAGACTGGGATGCAGGTAGAACCACTCATGTTTCTATGAGGAATATAAGAGGAATCTTGATGTAGAAGGGTAAAGCAGGTGCTTCTATTTTTTCCTGTAAGAAATAGTTCACATTTTTGAAAATGAAAATCTTGTATGTCACAAAGATAAAAATAGACAAATCAGACAATTTACACTTGGGCCATAAAAATGTGTCAGTGAGGCCTGACTTGCTGGGAGAGAAAGCTCTGTTTCTGTACCCACTTTCCTCACTTAATTCCTTCATGTTTCCTGGCGCTGGGAGAGTGAGTTATGGAAAATTCTTGGGAATTTCATTATTGGGAGAGAAAGATCATTTTCTGTTGACTAACTTCTTCTGTTCCTGCCTCCCCCCACTCTTCTGTGCCACCATGGAGCTGCTGTCAGGGCAGTAGCTAGGAAGAAAAACCTGTTTCAAAAAGAATAGTATCCAGGTGACACTCCCCCCACCCTTGGGATAGGGAAGGTCCTCCACCTCCTCAAGTTGAAAAACCTTCACCCTGTCCTGGGAACGCTGTGTTCCTGCGGTTGTGTTCATGCGTGCTCCTGTGTGCACTGTGAGTAGTTCTGGGAGCCTGGGGGTGGGTGTGGGGATACCAAGTCTGGGTGAGTTTCAGGCATGGCCTTTAAAAATAGCTTGTTCTTCATTTTGGGGAACATAACCTTCCTGTTCCAGTTTATTAACAATGAATTTTTAACTTTTACATTAGGTACCTTGGGATTTTTTTTAAAAAGTCTTTTATCTTTGCAGAATTAGCAGTCTCTTTAGAGGATTTATCTGTAAATGGGAGAGAGATTTGCCAGTCATGTAAAATAATAGTCCATCATAAAAATGGAATATTTAAACATGAGAATAGAGTGTTAAAACATAGAGTGGTCTGATTTGATCCAGCAATACCACTCTTGGGGATATACCCAAAAGACTGTTACTCCAGAGGCACCTGCACATCCATGTTTATTGCGACACTATTCACAATAGCCAAGTTAGGAAACAAGCCAAGATGCCCCAGCACTGACGAATGGGATTAAGAAAATGTGGATTATACACAATGGAATTTTATGCAGCCATGAAGAAGAACGAAATGTTATCAATTCGCTGGTAAATGGATGAATTGGTGAACATCATTCTGAGTGAGGTTAGCCTGGCTCAAAAACCAAAAATCGTATGTTCTCCTTCATAATGTGGACATTAGATCAAGGGCAAAACACAACAAGGGGATTGGACTTTGAGCACATGAAATAAAAAGCGAGAGCACAACAGGAGGGGTGAGATAGGTAAGACACCTAAAAAACTAGCTAGCATTTTGTTGCCCTTAATGCAGAGAAACTAAAGCAGATACCTTAAAGCAACTGAGGCCAATAGGAAAAGGGGACCAGGAACTAGAAAAGGTTAGATTAAAAAGAATTAACCTAGAAGGAAATCACGCACAGGAAATCAATGTGAGTCAATGCCCTGTATAGCTATCCTTATCTCAACCAGCAAAACCCTTGTTCCTTCCTATTATTGCTTTATACTCTCTCTACAACAAAATTAGAGATAAGGGCAAATAGTTTCTGCTGGTATTGAGGGGGAGCGGGAGGGGGTAGAGTGGGTGGAAGGGGGGGGTGGGGCAGGGGGAGAAATAAACCAAGCCTTGTATGCACATATGAATAATAAATGAAAAATGAAAAAAAAAAAAAACATAGAGTGGTCTGAGGGAAACTGGTGAAGGTGTTAGAGTCTCCTTCAAGATGGTTGATAGGAGGTGATGAATGCTGGGCTTTGCAAACAGGCTCAGTCATGGAAGCAGGGCCTGTGGCTTGCTTGCCAGTTCACACATGTGCCAGATAGGCTCAGATGTCCTGGGTTCAGTTTCTTCCACTTCTTACTAAGTTGACTTCCTTCCCTGTTTATAAGTCCCTCTCTTACATTAAAGTTGTGAATAGTTAAAAAACAAAAGTGAAGATGATTTAAAAAGCTTCAATAACAGTGTTGCCTGTAATTCTAGCCCTTGGGAGGCTAAGGCAGGAGGATCTTGAGTTTGAGGCCAGTCTTGCCTATGTGGTGAGATCCTTTCTCAGAAAAATATCTGTATAGATTTGATTTTTTAACTCTTTGATTAACAGTCTTAGAAATCAGTCTTCAAATTTCTTCATGTTCATTTTTAAACTGAAGAAGGTCCAAAAAGATCTCTGATATGGATGTATTTTTAGGAATGACACTGAAACAATGTAGCCGGCCACTCTGAGATGACAGGTGCATCCCCTTACAACTCAGCAGGAGTGAATTTTTAGCTCTTCTAAAAATTTGTGAGGGCAACATTGAACACTGTCAAAGAACTGTGTACTACTAGCTTTTTGTTTGGCTTAAGACTGTATGCTTTTCTTAGATAAACAAGTGGAAGTAAAATAAGAAACTATACTATCAACCTTCCTACCTTCCTAACATATTTTTTGAGTATGTATTTAGGTGACAGTGGCAATCAGAAATAATCATCACCTTTGTCATGGATCAAATAATCAAATTAATATAAATATACAGACGTTCCCTGGCTAATGATGGTTTGGCTTACGAGTTCTCATCTCTGCAGTCACGAGGAACTGATGCAGTTGAAATCATGCTTTGTGTTTTGATATTTTCCTGGGCTATTGACATGTGATCCCATACTGTCTTGGGATGCTGGGCAGTGGCTGGGCACTTCAGCTCTTAATCAGCCACCGCCTCACAAGCAGAAGCTATAGGTGCTCTATTCTGTACTGTGCTGCTAAGCCAGAATGTTTGGTAGGTTAGATATATTAAATGAATTTCAGGTACTTTCAACTTACAATGAGTTTATCAGATTGTAACTCCACCATCAGTCAAAGATCATCTGTCTGTATCACTTCCAACTGAGTCCTGCTGTCAAATGGGGGAAAATTCAAGGAGTGCTTATAGCAGGGACCCAGTGAGGCCATTATCCCTTGAGGAAGTAATATTTGAATACAGCTATGAAATAAGTTATGGATAAACAAGTCTGGAAAGCAGAACAGAAGTATATGGGTTGTGATAAGTAAACCAACTTATATGATGGGTCTTTTTATGGCATTCTACTCTGCAAGCTTAGATAAAGCCTCTTCTGTACATCTTAATATGGTGGTTTGCCTAGGTCTTATGGTTTGCCTGACCTGAGATGGTCTTGGAAATAATACTCTCAAGATAGGGAATGTATCTCCCTAATATTTTCCTTCTTAGAGATGAAGCCAGGGCTGTAAGGATGTAGCTCAGAGGTAGAGCGCTTCCTGGCATGAGCAATGTCCTGGACTCAATCCCCAGCACTACAAAAGCAAACAAACTCAATCAGAAATGTGTGTAAGTTACAAAAGTAAGATTTAAGTGAATATTTTCATCAAAATGGACTGGAGAAGAAATTTCAAGAGTTGACTCCAAATCCAGAAATCATAACTTGGAAATACTTATATATATTTAGCACCTTAGAGATAAAAGCCTACTTTTATAATAAAAATTTTGTCAATATAACTATAAACTGGAAAAATTTATTTACAGTATACAACAGTATACTGTTTACATGAAGAAACCTCTTAACTAGAGTAAGGCAGTTGCCCTAATATAAAGGTAGGAAGGTATTTAAGCAGTGATTTCACATGATAATGTATGCAAATGTATATTTAATTTGACTGGTGGTCCAAAAATACATGAAAACTACAAATTTCCTTCTATCAGTTTGGGTAAGATTAAAAGATGGCCATACTAATGTTGGAGAGGAGGAGGAAGTTGGGAATATGCATGGATGTATGCTGCTATAGCATCTGTTAAACTTACGCTTTTCTGTGGAAGTGTGCATAAATGTTCAAAAGGTGGTTGCCTTCTTTTCTTGTGGCATTGGAGTTTAAACTCAGGTCCTTGTGCTTGTTAGGGAGGCACACTATTGCTAGAGCCACTCTGCCAACCAGATTGTCTTCCGACCCAGAGATCTTACTTCTGGGAATTTATTCCAAAATATAATTACAAATATGTGCAAAGATTAGCTGTAGTTATATTCACCAGATTATTGTTATAATTAAAAATCATGAAGTAATCAAAATGTCCTGTGGGGAGATACACATTGGGGACATTGAGAGAAGGTGCACTAGACTTCCATTAAAATGCAAGTTTTTTGAATCCATTCATGTGGAAGTTTGTCTATAAAGTATTGTTAAGTGAAGGGAGTAGATTTATAAATAGCATTTATATCAAGTTTTCTTAGTAGCATATTAAAAATTTCTATATGTTAGATACTTTGCTAAATGCTTTTTGTTAATTATCTCATTTAATAATTTGTATTTTAGTGTTAGTATTACATTATAATTTGGTTTGCGTTTTTAGTTTTTAAGCTTTTATTAGCATGCAATAGTTGTACAGGGGGACACACTGATATTTACATATGTGCTTACAGTGTATCTTAGAAGAACATGGTTTGGAATAACGTGAGTTTTAGAAGGGCAGCCAGCACTAGTTTTAATTTATATATAGTGTGGAGTTTTGCTTGAAGAGGAAATAAAGAAAAATGAATGATTAGCATATTTATTTGGCATTTTTAGTCGCAGCCATGGGCACTATTAGGTAATTAGAAAGTGGTGTTTGCTAAGGTACCTTTTAGGCTAGATACAAAGAAATGGAGTTTTAAAGAATCAAAATAATTGATTACTGAACATGTTAGAGTTTAAAATTTTAAATAATTCTGGAGAACCTCAAAAAGCCTATTTAAAGGTAATTTTATTTTTATTAATCAGCCATCAAGTGTTTACTGCATCCCAACCATTTCCAGGAAGAAAGAAGAAACATAGAATGCAGAATTAGCAACCTAAGTGTGCAAACAAAACTTCGGGAAGAGGTAATGCTTGTTCAGAACAGTAAATGAGTAGGCGGTAAATTGTGAAACGTTTAGATGAAAATATAAAAAATACAGGCCTGGGTCATAGATGAGTGCGAATAATAATCCATGTCACAGAGCAGGCACTTGGGGAAAGGAGAGTGGCCGTGGCAGTAGCTGGGCGTGGGGAGCATTCTGCAGACCAGTAGCCTGAGCAGAGGCAGAAGGGACAGAGAGGGGACAGAAGGCTAAGTCAGCTCAGTAGGTGTTGATGGAGCAGCAGGAAGTGAGGGAAGCCATAATGTAGAGAGCTTCTGTTGTGATGCACACTGTGGAAAGTCTTCCAGATAAAATGTCGAAGCCCTTCTTCCAGGCTTAATTATGCTGCTTAGCTGCAAGTTTCTCTTCAGTTGCTACTCAAATATTAAGGAAAGTCCCATAATCAAGTTCATACCCAATAGATAATGGATTCAGAAGTTCTTATTACATATCGCAGGTTTTATTTCCAGTTTTCAAGCTGAATTTTTTAAAGGATATTAACAGGATTCTGTGGATTTTACATAAGAAATAATGAACACATTAGACTTGTACACTTGGAACCCAGTGCTTAATGAAGAAAGTCTGTTGAGTGGGGCTTTGGCTTCCCACCGCCTATAATAATCCCCAAAGGGGTTATTCTTAATTATTTGCCTAAAATAATGAATAAAAAGAAGAAAATGAAGGCTGAATTAGTAGCTTAGCCTAACATTTTATCTGTTGAGATATATATTTATTACTGAATGAAAATTGAAAACCACACTTATTTTTCACATTTGTACATTTGGGAAAAGAATCATACAGAATACTAAGATATCATTTTAATATTCTTTGCACTAAATCTCAGTTTTCTTTGCAATGTAGAAGACTAGCAAGATTAACTATTTTGGTATTTAAGTTATTCTTTTTTAGTACACATCTTACAAATAGAAGAAAGTTGGGTCTGTGACTCTGCAGGCAGCTTGCAAAGGATAGATACAACAAATAATAAATTCTGGTGTGGTAAAGATCACAGCTGATTGACAGAAAGGATTCAAATGATATTATTTTTATTAAAAAATAATAACCACTTGTGTGCCCCATAATATACCTTTAAAGAAATAAAAAAAAACTATGATGATAGTTACTCATAAATTTAGAATTAAGATGAATCCAGTTCTCTATACCTGAGACTGCCCAGGTCAAACTGATCTGTTATAATCTATGTATACTCAGTGTGCATTCTAGGTACAACTGGTAATTTAGAACAAAGCAGAAGGCACATTATTTGTTGGGTATAAATCTAATGCACAAAGCTAAACACAAGATATTATAAATCACAAGAATGAATTATACATGACCTATAAAAGTCAGTAATATTGCCAGAAGACAATTATTCAAGCAAAGTATTTTGGATAAAGTGGGCAAGAGTTTTGAAAGAGCATAAAGATGGGGACTGGTGGATCCAGGAAAGGTTTCTGTCTGGAAGGAATGGCAAATCGTTGGACCAAGTCTGTGAACTCACCTAGTCTTGGGCTAATCTTTGTAGTTCCAGAATAATGCACAGTGCCTTGGACATATTAGTACACAATTTTTTAAAAAATAAATTGTCTCTTAGATATTTTGAAGTAGAAAATTACAACATTCAGGATGCTGTAGCAGTTTGATTCCTGGCTTAACCATTGCTTCCAGATTTGTGCTGTTAGTTGAAATCTTTATCATCTAACTTATAATTTCCTTGTCTGCAAAGTGGGATATAGAATACATATTTCAAAATTTGTGGTTTTAATAAGTCTTGCAAAACATTTAGTAATGTCATCTTAAATGTTACTCTTAAATAAAAGAGATAGGAATATGGCAGAATGCTGCTTTTGTGGTTTATATTAACATATAAATGTATTCTTTATGGTCTGCTATAAGCTTCTAAGAAGTGACACTGAGTGACTTGAATATTATCTCTGGCATATGATTATTTGCTCTTGAAATTCTGTTAATTGGAATGGGGCCAAATTGGGAGAGTGTGTGGAAAGGAAAGCAAAGGACAGGTTGGTGGTGTTCTGGTACAGTAGTACTCTTCAGACCTCTTCTCTTCCTCATCTCAGTATTTAAGAAATTAGCAAAGGCCTTTCTTAAGGAAGGGTAGGATAGATAGCCCTTCTTGAATGAAAGAAATTATTATTTAACTGGACTAGGGATTGATCCTGTATAATGCACATAGACTCTCAATCACAGAGAGGCAAAGAAACTGATGTATCACTGGGCAGAGTACTCTTTGTTCCCGGCATTCTTCTGATAGCCACTTTCCTGACTCTTGTTTTTGTTTTTCTCAGAGAGAATCTCTCTGCCCTCCATGGGCTCTGTTGTTGGTAATCTTATGTTTTCTTTCTTGCAGTGAGCCCTTTGCTGGTTAAAACAAAACTTGCTGCCTCCTTCCCACTTTCTAGTCATGACTGTTTAGTTCTAGCCTGTGGTGTCCAAAGCTCAAAGGGCATTTTGACTTGTATGGGAGGCCATCAGTGAACTCAGGTAATTCATAACAAATCATCCCTTAAACATTTTTAGTGTCCTATAGAACAATCTGCTGGGGAGTTTTATGGAGAAAATTCATACTTATATATATAAGAAAATACAGAATTCTGAGCAATTTAGAGCAGACTGTGGGTGAGTTAGTATCTATGAGAGGCACAGTCCTTCCCGCAGTTCTTCACTTCAACTGCTTTGTACTTGGCCTTGTCTCTGCACTTAGCCATGGCCCAGAGGTAAGATTGAACATACAGTGCTCTTAGGGCTTTGAGCTCTGAATGCTAACTCATAGGCACCAGAGATTTTTTTTTTTAGTAAGCATCCTTCGAAGGGGCTGTTGACTTTGGAAAGCAGGGTTCCTCCTAGTGGCTGATCACTGACCATCTGCATAGGAAGAAGCCTATATAGAGATTCCTGGAAGCAGATTGTAAGAGGGATGCTGGGTGCCTGAGGTACTCCAACCCATTATTAGGGTCTCTAAATACTTCCCTTAAAAATCGTATGAGACTTGGGCACTGAAGAAAGATGGTAAATATTTGTCTGATCAAGTATATGTTGTCATATTATTTTTGGTGTGATCAAGTATATGATTGAGAAACATCTTCATATGCATTTTATGATTTTAAAAATACAGCTTCAGCTAGGCACCAGTGGCTCACCCCTGTAATCCTACTACTTGGGAGGCCTAGATCTGGATGATAGTCGTTCAAGACTAGCACATGCAAATAGTTCATGAGACCCCCATCTCCAAAATAACCAGAACAAAATGGACTGGGGATGTGGCTCAAGTGGTAGAGCACCTGCTTTGCAAGCACAAAGCCTGGTGTTCAAACCCCAGTCCCACAAAATGAAAGAAAAGAAAAGATACATGTTAAAAATGGAGTAGGTAAAAGAAATAAAAATATAAAGCAAAGTAGACAGCTAATCATAATGAAATTTTCTTGTACTGTTCAGCAGTTCTTCCATTTCAATAATAGATTATGAGCTGGTAGAGTAACTCAAGTGGTAGAGCTCCTGCTTAGCAAGCATGAAGCTCTGAGTTCAAAACCTCAGTGCTTTCAAAAAAAGAAAAGGAAAAAAAGAATAGTTTCAAAACAACTGAGAAAAACCAAATCTAGTGTGGTTTTATTAAGAAATAGAAATGCTGGTTTTGTATGTGTTATAAAAGTTTTTTTCCTTTTTTAAGACACAAGTATTTGGGGAAAGTATGCAGGATAGGAACAGGACTTTGTTAAAATTCTAGTTCTGCTGAGTCCATTCATTTTTGATCACATATCCTTTATTTAACTAACCTTGAACAACCTATAATTCCTACCTGAGTTTCAGTTGCCTTACCTGTAAAATAGTTACCAAAAGGAACTACTTCGTAGTGGTGTAGTGAGAGGGATGTAAATGAGAACAGTGGAGACCCTTGGCAGGAAGGGAAGTTTGTACTCACTCAGTGGTAACTAATATTATCAGCGATAATGGAAAATTCCCATTTTAATGTGGTTATTTCTCTAAAGCCTTATAATTGGCCATGTAAGGCGATGTCCCTTGTTTAAAACATTGAAAATTGTCTTTTCTCCTCTCTTATTAATGTAAGCTTATATAATGATGTTACTCTCTTTCTCTTAAACACTGAGCAAAATGCTTTGTAAAAATTGCATTAATGTTTTAAAAATTAGGGCTGGTGGAGTGGCTCAAATGGTACAGCACCTGTCTAACAAGCATGAGGTCCTGAGTTCAAAGTCCAGTACCACCACAAAAAACTATACTGAATATTTAAAAAAATTAAAGTACTTTACACCTAAGGTCCATGTTTGTTGTATTTTTATTATGCTAAGAAATTCTAGATATAACTTTACAATCATTATAGGGTTTCAAAAAACATCGCTATTTGAAATCTGCGTCAGTATTTTAAAATGTTAGGATATGTACTTACAAAAATATGTAAATACACTGTATTTATAAGTTCTTCTAGGGGTGCAGAGCACTTCAAGTGTTAGCACCTGCCTAGAATGCATAAGGCCTTGAGTTCAACCTCCAGTTCTTCTGACTCCTATGCTCCTTTGTGTAGTGGCCTTCCATCATCTCCCTTTTTAATGGAGCTCTTATAAGTCTTTTGTTTTCTCCTAAAAAAAAAAAAAGAAGGTTCTTCAAAGACTGTTATGAAATTATGATAGTAATGTAAATTAAGATGGGAAAAACCCTTCCTAAATCACCACACTATTCTTAACTTGGCAAATGTTTTTGTGTATTTTACTCATTCTTCTTATACAGGTCATTTTTACTTATAATTACATGGTAAGTTTTGCCTTCATTTTTCTTAAGTTTACTTTACTGAAGCAGGATAGTAGTCCATTTTTTAAACCATAATCAAATCAATCATTTCCTTGTAATAGGTTATTTTCAGTTTTTATGTCATAAATGGTATTTCAGTGAGCTTTTCATACTTAACAGTTTTCCTTTGGTTTGTCTTAGGATTAATTTTAGAATGTTGT